CCTGACAGCGGAAGCTCCTGTAGGCGGGACGTCACCGACTGCTCACCTGTGCACCTGCTGTCTGGGTCAAGTCAGAGGTCACGGTCATGTCCTGCACGGCCACTCCTGATTTCCCCACCTAGAACCAGCCTCTCCTGCATCCCTTCTGCACAGCCTCCAGGAAAGAAACGCCTCCAAAGCTGAAGCCTCACTCACCACCAGGGCAGGGTGCCCTCCTGGGGCCCAGGCGGTGGGGGGGGTGCCTGGGAGGGGGCCGCCCCTCCCTCCCTCCAGGCTAAGATGTGCACGCCTCTCATGGCAAGAGCACAGCTTTCCAAGGCCAGGAGCAGAGTTTCGTGTCTAAATCACCCCCGCTAGAGGCTCACATATTGATGTCATTTTGTGGCATTTATAAAAAAAAAAATAGGGAGGCCCCTTGATGCGCTGTTGCTGAGGCACCGTCAGGGAGGCTGGACGGAAGCGTGAGCTTCCCTGGAAAGAACGTGGGTCCGGGAACCGCACACGCAGGGCAGGCCCCCACCCGCCGCCAGGGGAAGCCTGCAGAGAAGCAGGCAGAGCGCAGCCGGCTCCTCGGCCCAAGTCACCGTGAGGTGACACGCTCTGCCGGGGAGCCGGGTGCCGGGACGGTGGCGCCAACTAGGCACAGCACACGGTGCCCCCCGGCCCATGCCCCTCGCACGCAGCCGCCCACGCTGCGGACCTCTCTCCGGCCACCTGCGGGCGCGTGGGGGGGACGAGGCCCGGGGTCCCTGCGGGCCATCCCTCTCTGGGACCCAGTTCCTCCTTGTCTGGGGCGAGGGGCCTGAGGAGGAAGGGAAGGGGCATGCAGAACTTGGGGTGCCTCACAGCTGCCCAAGGCCAGGCCCCCAGGCTCTGAGCACAGAAGCCGCTGTCTCGGGGCCCACGAGGGTGCCCTCACTCTGCCAAGTGTGCCAAGTGTGCCAAGCCTGCACAAAAACCCTACAGGAACTCTCAGGTGGGGAAACAGGCATGAAGTGGCCATCTGCACAGCAGGTAGGAGCCAGGTGTCAGAGCCCAGCCGCCCGGCCCTGGGCATCTCCCCGACCTGGCCTGGAGGGCCCCAGAGTGTCGGCCCAGCACCACAGCAGCCCCCCGCGCCGGGAACCTGAAGGCCAACCCTTGGCCATGTGCAGACACCGGCGAGAGGACACCGCAGGCACGCGCGCACAGCACAGGAAGCAGGACCCGGGTAGCACCGCCCTCCTGTGAGTGAAAAAGACCTGTCGAGTTCTCGGACCAGCAGGACCGGTGGGTCCTGCAGTGGCCGGGCCTCAAGGCTACTGAGGGGGGACCCAGCCAGCTTGTGGGGTGTCTGCATCCCCTGTTGCCTTGCCGCGACCCCGCCCCGTGCAGAACACCTTCCACACGTGCACACCGCAGGCCCACGCACACCATCCTCGCGGGAGCTTGTGCCTGCCCGACAGCGGCCCTGCAGACAAGCCCGCCCGCTCCTGCACACCCCCGGCAGTCCTCGCATTTGAAGGGGACTAAGCCCCAGGTGCTCGCGGGCCCCTCCTGAGATGCCGCCCCCGTGTCCGGCCACCCGCCAAGCGAGGAGCGTAGTCCCCGCTTTCCAGACAGGAAGGCTGAGCCCCGGCCCAGCCCCAGCACCCCTTGGAGACAGAGAACTTCCCTCACACTGGCCTCCAGGGTCCACATAGCCCGGGGCCGCGGCTGACCCCTCTCACCCACTGCCTGTCGCCAGCAGACGCCCGCCCCACCCAGACGCCACGTCCCGGGCTTGTCTGCAGAGCTGAGCGGACCTCTCCACCCGCCGCCGGCCTCGCGGGCAAGGATGGGCCAAGCCAGCCGCGGGAGGCCCACCGAAGCGCCCCTATCGCCCCAGCAGCCACTGCTGCCCACACAACGCTCCCAGGGCAGTGCGGCGCTGGGGCCACCCACAAGGTCATGAGGGACTTTCCAGCCAAAGGAGGCAGCCGGGAGCGGGTGGGACAGGGTGTGAGTCTCGTCAGGAAGGGAGCGACTGACAGCACTGGGTGGGCCAATCAGCAGCCCCTCCTCCAGGAAGCCCTCCCAGACTAAGGAAAGGACACTCAGCAGGAAAACGCAGTGAGGTGAGCCACGTCGACGCGGGGGCCTCCCGTCGGCCTGCAGGGCCCAGATGGGTTCTGCGGCTGCACACACACAGCACGTGGGCCATCCGGAGACCGAGGGGCCCGTGGCAGCCGGCGCCTGTTGAAGGCGCTGGACTGAAAAGAAGGGTCAAGGGAGCAAGGCAGCTGCCGGTCAGACAGGACCCTGGGCCCCGGGCTCTCCCGGGCTGGCCGCAGGGGGCCTTGCGGGGAGAGCTGATGGAGGACGTTGAGGAGATGTTCCAACCAGGTGGGGGCCCAGGCCAGAGGCCGGACCCAGAACCTGGGGGCCCAGCTCCCTGATGCCTTGGGGCTCCCAAAGCCGGCCCCTCCCTCTCCTGGCAGGTGGGGTGAGGGCCCAACCCGGCTGCACGCAGGCTGGGCACCCCCAGGTCAGTGCCCGCCACGGGGTGGGTGGCTCTGCAGGCCCTCCAGGGCTCACGCTGGCCTGCCCCATGGTAGCATGAGCATGGGGTGGAGGGTGAGGGCCCCCCCGCCCCACCCAACAGTGAGCAGAGAGGCCGGCCCACCAGAGGCCGGGGCGGGGCGGGCGGGCAGCATCAGTGTGCTCCGCTGAGGGTGTGGCTGGTGAGAGTCCAGAAATATCCAAAGGGTGGGGTGCAGAGGCAGGCTCTGGCCAGCACCCCAGGAGCAGCCCAGAGAAACATGGTCAAGGAGAGGGACCGGGGCCCAGGCCACGGAGGAAGCCCGGCCGAGGCCAGGACCGGGTGGCGCGGGCCCTGGCAGTGACCGCGGCCGCCACCCCTGCAGCCAGCGCCATCTGGACCCAATGAGGGCGGAGAGGGCTGGGGACCCGCTTGGCTCCGAGCCCCTCCCACGGCCCGCCGCGCGGGGAGGAGGACGGGGAAGAGCATGGAAAGGATGTCTCCGCGGCCAACTTGATTGAGTCAGAGGAAACTTAACCGTTTGGTATCTGTCAAGTCCCACAAAACTTGGACAACTCTTCCCACAAAATGATCGCAAAGAGCCGTCACGTGACGGGAGCCGACCAATGGCGTGCCGAGGAGATGACCTCAATTTCCAAATATTGGGGTCATGTTTCACTTCACATCGCCTCCCTGGCCCGTTACAATGTTCAGCGGCCCCAAATGCAATCTTACTTTTCATTCCTTCACACACTTGGCCAAGAAGAAGGTAGAAAAAACAGCCATGTTCAGAGAAAACTCGGAAAACATCTGGTGGATCCCAAAATGGAGACAGGACAGGGCGCCGGCTGCGGCCCCCGCCTCCCCCGCGTCGCGCGTGGACAGCGGCCCTGGCCGCGCACACACAGAGGACGCTTCCCAACGGGTCCCCCGGGGTGGGGAGAGGCTGGGGAGCCCCGGGGAAAGCAGCTTCTCCACACACCTCCACGCACATCTTTGTGGCACAAGCCAAAGGTCCTACTGCAGGCCCCGGGCACCCCAGCCTTCGCTTCCAGAGCCCCTGGTCAGGCAGGGAAACCCAAGAGGGCCAGGCGAAGGGCAGGAAGCAGAGGTGGGGGTGGACAAACGGCCACCCCAAGTCCAGCAAATGCAGTGCCCAGCCAGCGCCCAGCTCAGGGTTCGGGTGTGGCGACCCCCCACCCCCAAGATCCGAGGGAAGAGCATCAGAGGGGCCAGGACAGGCTAATCTCAGTGGCCGCCGGGTCTCCAGCCCACATGTCCGGCCTCACTCCCCGCCACTTGCCTGGAGACCTCCACTGACCCCCCCACCTTCAACTGAGCCCAGGAGACACCCTGCTGGTGAGTCCAAAGCTAAGGCCCCACGGCCCCCGAGTCCAGTGTCCGGCTGGCAGGCTCACCTCGGGGCACCCCCATCACTCAGTGTGCCAGGAAAGGGAAAGACGGCCTGGCTAGCGCGGCATGGAGCCGCCTCCCCGGGCTCCCAATTTTGAAGCAGAAGGTGGGGGGAAGGGGGGCAGTGAGGCCGGCCTGCTCCCTGGGGGCTGGCTGGTTGGGCCGGCTGGCCGCTGAGCCTCCACCCCAGCTTTCTGGCCTCATTCCCCTGACTCTGCCGGGCTCGGAGCCACTGCCCCCCACCTGTTAATGATGTTCACAGGTGACTGGCAAAGGTGATGCCGGGAGGCCCCGGACTGATCAGGAGCCACATGGGAGGGGTGCCGGGCTGTGCCGGGCCTGGCGGAGCCGCCCACCGGGGAGGCCCCTTTCAGGCCAGACCCCTGGCACGAGGCTTCCCACATCTGCGTGTTGTGCTGGCCGCCCAGCCTGGACGCCGAGACCATCTCCTGGCGCTGCTCCACCAGCCCCAGCTCTGGGCAGAAAAGCTGCCCCCAGGGCACCAGGAGGTTTGGGGCAGGATGAGGCTGGGGCTGGTCCACCCTCCGCGGCTCCCCGGTACCAGGGGGCACCCAGAAGGCAGAGTCCCTGGGACAGCAGGAGCTGACCTGGTCTAGAGGCAGGGCAAGCGCCTGGGGGTGCTGCAGGGATTTCCCCCGCGTGCCCCACCCAGGAGCCCCCTGGGGACAGCTGGGACTCGCTGGCCCTTGCCAGAAGTTCTCTCCGGGCTGCGTGGGCCCGAGCTGGGCGCTTGCTGGGAGAAAGGGCACACGTTTCAGGACACAACTTTGTCAGCCTCCAGAGGCGGCCCCCGCTGATCCCCGGGGGGGAGGGGGGGCTTTCCCCAGCAGCGACAGCCCCGCCCCGCGGCCTGGCGCGCGAAGTGTCGGCGGCGCTCCCTCCCGGGCCCCGCCAAAGGCACTCGGAGTCTTGGCCCGAGCATTCCACAAGCCGAGGGGGAAAAGCCCTGCAGGCGCGCAGAGGCCTGAGGCGGCGCCGGTGACAGGGGCGCGGCGGGGGGCCAGGTCCTGGGCCGCGCGCCCGGCGCCTCACCTGGCCCGGCGCCTCACCTGGCCCGGCGCCTTACCTGCGCGGCTCGGAGGCGGCGCCCGCAGCAGCAGCAGCAGCAGCAGCAGCGGCAGCGGCGGCGGGGACAGCAGGGGGACGCCGGGGCGCAGCGCGCCGCGCGCTTTCCAGCGGGTGTGGAAGTCCATGCCGGCGGCGCGGGCGGGCGGGACTCTCGGGCGCGGGGCACAGCCGGGCGGCGGACTCGCGGGGCCGGCACAACTTCAGGAGCTCATGGGGGGCGGCGCCGGCGCGCGCTCTTTGTGGCGGCGGCGCCCGCGGAGGGGCTGCGGGCGCGCTCGCCCACGGGCGGAGGGCTCCACCTGGGCCCGCGGGGCGGCCCGAACCCCGCTCGGCGTGGCGCGCCCCCGGCCGGCGCCTCCCGCCGCTCCTCGCCGCGCCGCGACCCGCTCCCCGCGCGCGCCCGCCCTGAGCTGCCGCGCCAGCCGCGGGACGGAGTGCGGACCTCGCCTCGGGCGCCCTGCGCTCTCCCCCGCGCCCCCCTCGCCCCGGGACGGCACCGCGGAGGCGGGCGCTGCCCGCGCGGGCGGCGAATCAGAGCCCGCGGCCGGCGCGGGGAGGCCGGGCCTCGCCCGCCACTGGGCGCCCCGGGCGGGGGGTGGGGACGGCGGGCGAGTCCGAGCGCGGCAGGGCCGGCCGGGGCGGAGCGGACGCGGGGCGGGGGCGGCGCGCGGGGGCGCGCGGGCGAGGGGCGCCTCGCCGCCGGTGGCCGCGCCGGCCCCCACTGTCCCGCCCGGCGGCCCGCACCTGGGCAGCGCCGGGGAGGGGGCGGAGGGCCGCCCACCCGCGTCCGACCACTCTGGGTGGAGGAACGGGCTGCAGCTCACCCCGCCTAACCTTTTCTTTGACGTGGAGTTGAGGCTCCCCTGCTGGGCGGGGACTGAGCTTCCAGCCCAGCCAGATGGGGCGCCCTCGACTGTCACCCGCCAGGCGGATGGCGCGGCCTCCACGTGGCCCTCACTGCAGAACGGGCGCCACAGCCCAGGCAGGGGTCTGACTGGCTGTAGCTTCCCAAGAGGGTCCCCCAAGGAGGGCGGGGGTTCCCCACCAGCACGCTTCTTCAGGCCCCTGGACAGCCCTCGGCAACAAAAAGGAAGCGCAGAAAGTCACACCCCGTAGGGAGTGTGAGTTGTGCATGTGAGCTGTGCGTCTGTGAGCCGTGTGCATGTGTGCATGAGTCATGTGCGTGTGAGGCGCGTGTGTGAGCCGTGGGAGCTGTGTGTGCACGTGTGAGCTGTACACGTGTACGTGGGAGCTGTGTGTGCACGTGGGAGCTGTACACGTGTACGTGGGAGCTGTGTGTGCACGTGGGAGCTGTACACGTGTACGTGGGAGCTGTGTGTGCACGTGGGAGCTGTACACGTGTACGTGGGCTGTGTGTGCACGTGGGAGCTGTACACGTGTACGTGGGAGCTGTGTGTGCACGTGGGAGCTGTACACGTGTACGTGGGAGCTGTGTGTGCACGTGTGAGCTGTACACGTGTACGTGGGAGCTGTGTGTGCACGTGGGAGCTGTACACGTGTACGTGGGAGCTGTGTGTGCACGTGGGAGCTGTACACATGTACGTGGGAGCTGTGTGAGCAGCGTGCACATGTGTAAGCTGTGTACGTGCACGCATGTGTGCAAGCTCTGGTCGCTGGCCCCCCCTTCCCGCCTGAGGCTGCCGGAGCCTGGCAGTCCGTGGTCCTGGGGCACCCTGGCCGGGAGCCCAGCTCCCCCAGGGCCCAGGGCTGCCAGAAGATGCACAGATCTTGGGATGGCAGCCTGTCCCTGCGCCACCGGTGCACCCCGGGGGAGCTGCGCATGCCTCTGGCCACCCACCCCGCCACCCCTGGAGATCGGACATAATGTGGGAGGCGCTTGGGCTGGTCCCTCAAAGCTGAAGTGGGGACCATCCAGGCCCCCAGAGAGCAGACCCCTTGGGGGCAGAGGGCTTGGGTCTCGGCTGCCGGCAGGCAGCACACAGGGGCCACCGAGCTGATTCATGGCTTCTTCTAAGCTGGCCCCACAGGAGAGGCCCCCTCCTGGCCCTGGGCCCCACCCTAACCCCTTCCCCTGCTGCCCGGCCTCTCCTGGACCCCCTGGCGAGTCCCAGCACAGGTCTGAGCGGCAGTTGGGGAGACCTGCCCCTTGAAAGGCCTGGCACAGTGGGCGGAGGTCACCCTGCTCGGGCGCACGCTTCATGCAACTTCGGCACAGTGGACAAGGCAGGAAAGAAGACTGGAGGCAGCTGTGGCCAGGGGCAGCTCCCGACATGTGGGCCGCATGTGCCAGGCCCATCACGGGGCCACGCGGGGCTGAAGGGTGGACCAGACAACGCAGGACCCAGTTTTCTCCTGCCACCCCCGCGACCTCACAGGGCCGTCCTTCTAGCCCGCCTGTGCCCTCACCTCTTCTCAGACAGGGGTGTCCACCCTGAAGTGAAGATGACACAGCGCTGACTTCAGGCCCGTCTCCAAGTACAGGCACGTCCAGGGTGCTGGGCGGCAGCTCAGGAGCCAAGGGGACACGCCTTGGCCGTCCCGTCTGTGGTCTGTCTGAGAAGTCCAGGGACTGGCGAGCCCTGCTTTCCAGAACAACAGGGGCCTTCTGAGGCTGTGGGAAGGGGCCACGGGGGCACCCCTGATGCTGACGGGGCCTGGTCCGGCCCACCAGCCCGGTTCCTCTGTTGGCTGGGACCCCTCCCCGCCCCCGCAGGGACGCCCGCCCCCCCAAAGTGAGGCCCGCCCCCCAGGTGCCCCAGCCCAGCAGCTGTTCCCCCTGTGCCTGAGCCACCAGCTCCACCCGGCACGACTATCCACCCAGGCCAGAGTCCCTGTCCGCCCCCGGCCAGCATCGCCATTCACCCAGGCCAGTACGACCGCTCAGCCAGGCCAGCGTGACCGTCCACCCCAGGCCAGCGTTGCCACCTGGACAAGCACTCCTCAGCCAGGAGGCTGGGCTCTCTGTCTGGGCGCCAGAGGGCTGTGGACACAGTGAGTCTGCAGTGGCCGGACGAGGGTGCCGGCCGGGGTGGCCCGCGGGCGTGTCTGCGGGGGTCCCTGCCGCTGAGGGTGGGGACGCTCTGGGCGGGGGCGAGCACGGCCCGCAGCAGCAGGCTGGCCCAGATTCAGCGGCGGCGGCCCCGGCTCAGAGCTCACTGACCGCCCCGTCGGAGGCGCAGGCCCTCGTCCACAGCCAGAGAAAGCTTCTCCACGCGCAGGGCTGCCCACTGGACAGCGGCCTGCCCCGGCCTGCTCTCGCCAGGCCCCGTGATGGCGTCTCGGGCACTCCGGGAATGCAGGCCGAGCTCCTCGCGCCGCAGACTCTTTCCAGAGCCGCGGGGGCCGCAGGGGCCTCCCCTCAAGCCACTGCCATCCCGTCCCCTGAGCGTCCCCCACCTGCACCACGCCGGAAGCCTCTGGAGCCGCTGCGGGCCTGGGCCCGGAGGGTGGGGCCGGCTGTGCCGCCCAATGTGAACCCCAACAGCTCCAGCCCCTGTGGGGCCACGCGCCCGAAGGCGGGGCCGGGGGAGGGTGGGGAGGACGGCAGGGCCGGCGGGGACAGGGGCTGAGGGGCAGCGGGGGCTGCGGGGGCTGAGGGGGCAGCGGGGCCTGAGGGGCGTGGGGCCGGCGGGGCGAGTAGCCTGGCAGAGCCCGGGGCCTCAACACGTCCCTCGGTGCCAAACACCGCCTGGGACTGTTGTTTTTTCCAAGAGGGTCTAGTTTTATGTGTTTTCATTTTTAGTATTAAACCAGTGCTTCTAACGGGACCGGCTCCCAGATTAGATTTTCTTCCATAAGAGGAAACAGAAGGGGTGCCGAGTTCTCAACGAGCCTCCCAACCTGGAGGCCGACCCAGCAGCTGCACTCCTGCTCTCCGACCCCCCGGGCTGCGGCGAGGACGCAGGTGACTCGGGCCGGGCAGGGCGGCGGGAAGGGCGGGGCGGGCGAGCTCGAGGAGGGCAGAGGAGGGGGCCGCGGGGCGGAGGGCCGGGGAGACGGGACAAGGCCCGCTCTTCCCCGATCCTCACGGCTCCCGACACCAGCGACACCCCCAGCCGCAGGGGAGCGGCGAGAGCGGCGGAGCCCCCAAGCCAGGGCAGGAGCCCGTTCCCAGCCCAGGGCGCGGGCCAGGGCTCTCCACGGGGGTCTGCGCTGGCACGGGCCTGGGGACGCAGGGGACCCACAGCAGCCGCGGGGAGCCGGCCGCGAGGGCCCCGGGTGGGTGTGCTGGGCCGACCGCGCCCCCGGGCCAGCGGAGGTGAGCTTGCTCGGGGCAGGCCCCCCGTCCCGGCGCGTGGCCAGTGCCCGCGGAGAGGGTCACGGGCGGAACGGAGAGAAAGCAGGTCGAGGCAGAGGCGCGCCCTCGCGCCAGGGAGCAGCTGGGCGCCGGGACGGCCCTCTGACTCCAGCGCCCGGCCCGTGTGCCTGCAGGGCGCCGCCCGGGGCCCGAGGGACGGAGCCGCGGCTTAGGCCGCCTGGCTGCACTGGCGATCCGAGGCCCGAGCTGGGCATGCGGTGGGGGCGGGGCCTTACCCGGGAGTCTGGCTCGAGCCCAGGCCCCTCAGCTGCGCGTCCCCTGCCCCTTGTTGCTGCACCACAGGGGCCTGGGACGAGGCAGCGTCCGCTCAGCCCCCCCGGCTGCCACGCGCAGGCGCACCGGTCCAGGGAGAGGAGGGGTCACGGGCCGGGGGCGGGTCTCGCAAGGGACACGGGGAGGAGGGACGCAGGGAGGCCACAGGGGCAGAGCCTGGAGGGTCGCCTGGCCCGGGAGCCGGGAGGGCGCGGCCCTGCGCACCCCGTGTCTGACCGGCCTCCAGAGGTGGGAGAGAATCGGCCGCTGCTCGGAGGGGTCTGGCCCTGACCCTGCAGCAGTGGGAGCAGCTCGCTGGGCCGGCCGGGCCTCCGTGCACACCCAGGCTCAGCCGCTGAGACCAGCTGCAGCCGGGGAGGGGGTGAGCTATGTGCCCTGCGGGCCACGGCCCGGAGCTCCCGGACCTGAACTCCAGGCCTCCCGGCATCCCCCGGGACCACCTCTCCCGGGGACCCAGGCCCCAGGCAGGAGGACCAGTGCACTGAGTGTGCAGTTGAGGCGCCGGGGCCCAGGCCGGGCCCACTGCTTCCTGCCTGCTGCCTGCCGCGCCCA